GTACTGTTCTTCTGCCAGCAACACATTATGTTCCAGGGTTTCCAAATCAATCTACCGTGGCCAGCGTGACCATGAAGGGTCCCCACAGAATACAACAGCAAGAGCAGAAGGCTTCTGCCTGGAGTAAAAACAGAAGAGAGCTCAGCTGTGTGCCTGCAGATGCCCACAGACAAATGATGTCTGGAAATGGCAGAGAGGAATGCAGGATTGAAATTAGGGTGGGTTCAGAGAGAACCCATCTGCTGAGAGCATCAGGAAGGAGTCCGGGCACCGCTGCGATGCGGCAGGCTGAGCTCACAGCATTTCCTTCAGGCACAGAGAGAATGGATGAGCCCGCTGAATTTTAGATTAAAGTAATCCAACACACCATAGGAAAAAAAAAAGGTTTTTATTGTCACCATTATCAACGTTTTCATTAGCTTAACACTGAATTGTAAATCACTCGATCATCACATATCATCTGAATAAAACCTACAGACAGGAAAAAAGTACAGCAGAACCCTCCTTTGCCCACGGCCGCAGCGCACCGCTGTCGGTGTCCCACGCTTCCACCCAAGGCAGCCCTGCACCTTAAAGCCCCCAGGCAGGAGCAAGGCCAACAATGCCCGTCCTGGTGTTCCCTCCAGCTCTGTGGGATCAGAGCTCGGCGGGCAGCATTAAAAACCTCCAAATGCTTTGGAGAGGCCCCCACTCCTACAGGAAGGTGAGAGAAGTAGCAACTGCATGGTGCCCCTGCCCAGCTATTGTTTGTTGTTTTCTGGAGCAACTGATGATGTAAAAAGTTTGGACCCAATGGAAGCAGCTTTCCCTGGGGGCACACGGAGGCAACAGCCTGCTGCAGGGTGACAGCTGGGAGGACAGCCCTGTCCCCACACAGAGACCAGCTCTGCGGGCTGCCCAGCAGCATGGGATGGACGCTGCAGTGCAAAGAGGGGCTGCAGGCAGCCTCGGGCCTGTGGGCTGGAGTAAGGCCTCGTGTCAAGAGGGAAGGGAGAATGTACACAGGGAGCAGCAGAAAGAAAAAGCCAGGAGAGAGCTCCTCCTGTCCCTGCTTTCTCCTGGCTGGCTGTACCATATGGCATGGGCTGCAAGTAGCCCACAAAGGCCCCCAGCTCCAACCAGACTTGGCATGGAGCTACCCTGCGCTCTGAGCTCAGCGCTGCCACAACACGTGGCTGGGACGCTTGTTCCTGTGTGGGTGGTAGGGCCACAGTCATACTATGCTGGGACCTTGGGGTCCCATTGCCACCCAAACCAGAGAACAGCCTGCAGCTCCCACTGCCATGTGGCTGAGGGCACACACCACAGATCTGCTCCAAATAAGACTCAAAGCAGCTGTAGGTCCAGGAGACAGAATCACCAAAACAGAGACCAAGGAGCAGCACTGGGTAAGGAACAATAGTCCCAAGGAAAGAATGCTGCAAGATGTAAAGACTGTGTTCAGTGGGATCTGGAGCCCTGTGGGCAGCTATCTGAATCCACGGTGCCCAGGCACCTAAAAACCAAGCCCTGGATTAGCACATAACAGGCTCCAGCAGCAGGCGTGCCCCGAGTCCTACGTTGGAGTGTTCCTGCCAACATCCCTCCCACATGCCTTGTGTCCACGCATCCTTCCTGCAGGACAAAGCCTTCTCCTTTTTGAGCTGGGGGCCACACGATTCTTGACGTGCTGCATCAACACAAAGCTGCCCACTGACCCAGCTCAGCAGGGCACACATGGCACTAGCTGCCATCTCAGCTCCTGGGAAGGCATGAAGGGAAAAGCATTAGGTCTCAGCCTCTGTTTGCTGGTGCTCCATAAAGGGCTGGTGCTGGCTCCTCCTCACGTTTGGTTGCTAAAGTGCAAAGAACCAAATGCTACAAGAAATTCTCCCATTCCTCTCTTCCTCTGGGACAAGAGCAGCTACCAAAGGGAAGGGAGGGCAGAAGGTATCCGTGCTGTGGGGTATGCCTGAGACTCCTGAGGACAGAGCCTGATGTTGCTGCTGAGGGCGAGTGGCTGGGCTGCAGGAAGGTCCTGCCACGGCAGGCGCCCCAGGTGACCTGCAGGCAGGGGCACTTGGCTGCACACACACACACGGACACCAACTACAACACGTGTGTTTCCCTGGACTGCTCTGCTGATGGCACTTTGCATTCACATGGCTCTTTATCCTCCAAGCATTTCACAATCAGCTGTGAATTAGTTCTCTCATTACCCATCTGGGCTTCCAGCATCTGAGCGCGTGGCCCACCGGCTGCACGGCTGGCAGGTGGCAACCTTGAGAACAGTGCAAAGACGGGCCACAGGCAACTGAGTGGGATGCTGTTCCGAAGCTGTTTGATTTTAGGTACCACAACAGTGATAAAGCTGACTTAAAATCCAGTATCTTGATCCTACCACCACAGAAAAATCTTCTGCTGAGCTCAGCACCACTCAGCTTTCTGAAGACAGCCAGAACAGCCCGCTCCCATTCACACGTCAGTCCCCCGTGATCCTCTGTGGAGGTGCAATCTCGCTGCCTTGGGTGGAATTTTCTAACAAAATGGACAAATGCCATCTATGAAATCGACAAAACAACCCACGAAGCCTTTAAATGAGAGCAGTTCAATCTGCTGCTCTGAAATAAACTCCCTTTAGCTTGCCCCTGCTGCCTCGAGGCAAACAGGCAGCTATGGGCAGAACTCACGCAGCCCAGAGTGCAAAGGCTTTTTTGCTTTATCAGGGCTACAGTGGCAGTGGGAACCGTTCTCATTGAGTTACAAATACTAAATAGCCTAAGAAAAACAGGGTGCTTGAAACAGTCATTAAGTTTATATTGAAACTATTTTTAAACTCTGTAGTATGAAGTCACCTACAGCTGCTTCATTCTTCACCTAAGAGATTTCATGTTAATGGGCACATATACTCACAGAGAAGTCTACACGATGAATATTTCTTACAAGGCAACAGCCCAATCTTCAGTTTCACAATCAAAGTTAATACAGACCTTTTTCAAAAGTGATGTCGTTAAGATTGAAGACAATTATAAACTGTATCAACAATATGTACTACAGCCTGCAAGTCACAATCTGTGCACACCAAATGGAATATATTATTGCTTGTTAGCCTATTAGACTTTCTTTATAAAAAGATTTTTATACAGAGTACAGGATTATGACAAAACTAGCTAAGTCGTTTTCATCTTGAAAATACAACATCAATTATTTCTTTCAACAAAGGCTCGAATAGTAGCTGAGAGTTAATGAACAATGACAAATATTTACTAATAATTTTATGGTCAGTTTGAACAGAATTTCCTGTAGGACTCTTTTCTGGTGGTTATTTACATACGTCTCTCCTCTTTTGGAAAAGGGGTGATAAAATATAACGAGGAACACAGAAATCAAAAGAATGAGCAAACTCCATACCGAGGACGTTGGACGTTTCTCAAAATGCTAAATTATGCTATCTGTTAAAAAACATACATCATCTTGTCTTTAAAGAAAAATATTTTTCCTGTTTTAAAATATTACTAACAGCATGTAATAAACTAACTTAAAATGAGTCTCATAAAAAAGTTGTCTTGCTGTCTAAACATTACTAAACATGCTTAGGTTGAGATTCTGTTAACTGCCTCAACGTCTTAAAAACAGCCCCTGTACAGGAGCCCTGATATTCTGACTCCAGAAGACCTGCCAATTTAGAACAGTACAGAGATAAAGGATCCAGTAGCTAGAAACATTAAATGCACATCATCATCCAGAGCAAATCATTCTGCAGTGATCTGTGCAGCAACCTGCACCAAGAAGCGGGGATGTGCTCGGCTGACTGTCAGCGGGCCCCTGCTCTGCTGCCCACGTGGATGTGGGCTCACAGTGAGGACCCGTGTGTTGAACTGCAGAATGAGGATCTCGTGTTGTCTCTATGGCATCCCAGCTGTGCTGGGGCAAAGGGAAAGCAACACCAGGAGACCGGGAGAATTCGCATTGCTGCCTGAAGAAACGTGGCCATGTTCTGCTCAGCCCGAGGGAGCGAGAGCTGTGTGTGGGGCTCCGGTGTGCTGGGCCACGTGGGGAGAGATGGCTCTGCCTCAGCACCACGAGCCCTTTTGTTTCCTGCATAACAATAATGGAGGTAACAGGGATCAGCCTCCAGTTCTTTCCTGCAAGCCACCTTCCTGTTACTACTAGAATGGAGCATCTCATGCACAAGGAAGGAGCGGGGAACCAGCCCTGTGTGGGGCAGATACTCACCTCTCCTCAGCCTCATCTCTCATCAGCACTTGCAGACCACAAACACTATGATGGTTTTTTTTTGCTTTTGTTAAAAGTCTCCTGCTCTTTCCCTCTCCCTGATCATAACTAACCGCTCAGCTCAGACACAGGAAAAAAGCTCCATCAGGACTAAAGGGGACCAAAGTTTAGCTTTCAGCCACTCACCACCCTGGCAAACTGCTCCAGCACACCAGTAATCACAACCAGCACATCACACCACCTTAGACAGAAACTGACAGGTCAAATTCAAAGGGAAATAAGGGGTTAGGTTTTATAAAAAGAAGCCATTCCAAGATCAAGATTTGCCATGGATGCTACACTGGGAGTCTTAACATCGATGGAAAACTAGACTTCATTTCAACTGCAATATGCCATAGTGCAGGAATCATGGGCATGAATGGAGCAAGAACTGAGACCATCAGTACTGCACAGTGACAGCCTGAGCTGACACACCGTGCCCTGAGGGCACTCCTGGAAGGGCTCCTGTGAGTGCACCTGCTTTACAAAGGAGCACCACCAGGACTGCATCACCTTGCCATGCCTGGCAGCCAGACCTTGCAACCTTCACTCACTGCAGAGAAACAGGACTTGGAAGTGACTCCAAACACAAAGGAGAATCGGGCTACCACCACCCAGGGAACAAGGCAGAAGAAGACAGCCCAAAGCAGACTGTTAAAATGACCTCAAAATCCAGAATTCGGGACGCTAATAAAAACAACACGAGCAAAGTGCCTTTTTTTGGTGAGGGTTTTTTTTTTGGTGTTTTTTTTTTTTTTTTTTCTCTAACCCTGACAACAAACTTTTAGAATGACTACAAATAAATGGAAGACATTCCTCAGCATTGAGGAGTCCTGTTTTAACTACGCTGGTTGTCTATGAGCTTGCTGCACTTTTAGGGATTTAGAGACATGTTGCATTCACCAGGCATAGCAGAACTGAGCTTTCCAATGGACAGGCATTAAATAATATTTCAGAGGGAATTTTGGGGGGGATAAAAGACTGCAACGTTGCATTCATCTTACTGACAGAGGACAAAGATGACCAACCGGCTGTTACCAGGAGATAATGTCAAACAATCTCCAATAGGAAGTGCTCAGCACTACTTAGAACAGAAGCCCTGTTTCTCGGTGACCAGGCTTGGAACGAACCCGCAGCTCCCCACAGTCCTCTTAAAGACATAGTTATTAAAAGATCCGGTGCTACAAACCACTAAATCTACCTAATCTATTCTAGTTCATACATGTATTGTACAATATTGCCTAGTACTCACTACATACCAAGAGGAAAGGATGCTGACTTGAATTACAGTAAATGTGCTTCTTTAAAAAAATGAGCGTCACAACATAGTTTGACCAGCATGCAACAAACTTTCTTCAGCTAATATATAGAAATTGTCTAATACGATTAGAAAAAATAATTAGCGAGAGGCCAGAGACATATCTCATCAAGGAAATTAAGAGATTTATCTGAAATGCTGAGGCTTTTGCCACTTAAAAACCTATTCATTCATTCCATGTCCCTTCTGCGCCTTCCCTCTCCTTTATATCATATCATTTTTACAGACACTATTGTAAGGCCTATTTGTTTGGTACCTATTCCGAAATTTACCTCAAAATGATTTAAAACGCCACAGACAAGCTTGGATCAAAAAGCAACTGCTCTCACCACCCACTCTACAGTCATGCTTTACTCTAACAAAGCTGAGGTCCGCATGCAGAAATAAATGCTCTGAGTGCCTCAGTGAGAGGCTGAGGATCTGCTCACTCCTGAACATGATATGGGACCTTCACTTCTAAATCACAAAGCAAAACATCTCCAAAGCTTATTTGGAAAGTGCAATCACCAAATCCTCATTAAGAATTACGAAAAAAATCTAGCCATTAGCAGGAAATCTTTGGAGATCTCTGTTATTTTTTATAGTAAGTGTTTTCAAAGAAGAGATTTTAATTGAGTGAAGGATCTAGCTTGCCTTTCTCTAGCACATGACTCTGCTGACAGAGAACGTGCTTCACAGGTTCACCTACGATGTTCCTTTCCAGTTAACGTTGCACTTAAATGAAATAAACATGCTGTGACCACTGTGCCTTCAGCTTCCTCACCCATTACTGCTCCATACTCTGGGGACAGCATCTCTTCTTTCAGCACATGCTGAATTGCTTGCGTATTACTGAGTGCCTAAAGCAACCTTCTTTCCATGAGGAAGGTTATGTGCTCTCAGCACCTTCCTGTCAGATGACAGACTCAAATTTCTTTCTTCTGCACCCCTGCAAATCTCACTCTCCTGCGGCAGAATAAAACAGCCCCGTTTCAGGTCAGTCAATAGCACGACAGGAAGGGCAGCATCTCCAGCAGATATGTACTGGTACAAAGGAGATGAAAGAAGAGCAGGAGACAGAAGAAGTGACTGAAGGACGCAGAGTAACAAGTGAGGGTATAAAGGGATAAAGCATATCTCAAGCTGCAAGTCTGATGCTCAGCTCCCACCTCTAGTGGTCTGGGGGTTTTTTTCTGAGCAAAATTGCAGATCATTAGACTGCTAAACTCAAACTCTGTTCAAACTGCCTGGCCTAAGCAGGCGCTTACTCTCCCACCAAGTATGCTTCATCAGCAGTGTTACACAAGTAATGCAGGAAAGACACTTGCTGGTAATTTGGCACAGTTTGAAAACACAGCGATGACAGTGCTACAGGGAACGTGATTCAGTGATGTGGAATTGACACTAAAGAAAGAATTACAGGTTTCTTTCTTCTTTCTTTTTTCCATAAGATCTTATGAAAAACTCATGCTTCCTCTGAAACTTTCTGCTCTTGCTCTTTCTAGGTCAGATATTGGCCTCTGCATTTTTTAGGTACTTTGAGAAAGAATCTGCCTAAGAAATTTTGAAGATGCACAGTTAAGAAAAACACCTTCCTTACTCCTCCCAGAATTTTCAAATGCTGCAACTTTCCAGAGTTAATGCTGATCTGAAACAAGGGTCCAAGAATGACAGTGAGAAGCGAAACAAGAGGTGTATGTCTAATTTGACAACTAGGACTCATGCCCCACGGCACCTCCTCCGACAGAGAGGGTACAGCACCCTCCCCCTTGTCTTCTGTCTAAGGTCACTGGTTTATCCTCCTCTTCCAGCTCCACAAGAACTGATTGAACATGCATTGCGCTTGAGGTCAGAGTTCCAGCAAACAAAACCTTGACAGCATGTTTAAAAAACAAAAGCAGTTCCCCCTTCCTTACTCACTAAGACCTGTCACAGCAGGGTCCCACTGTGCTCTCCAGGGAAAGCTGCGAGGACTGGCGCAGGAGCGGGCCTGTAGTGGGATCCACCATTGAGGAGGTTGGGAAGAGCTTGTACCAGCCAATTGCTAAAGTTGACAAATCCAGTTCTTCCAGGAGGACCCTTGCGACTCCCATGAAGTGCTTGCGCTCCATGCGGCCGTAGTTTCCCCAGACTATCACCTTAGAAATAAGAGGGGGAGCACAGTTAATCCACAAGCTTGCATGCTTGCTTGGGAAGCAGCAGTCTGACCAATTCTGTATTCCTCCTATGTATCCAGTTTCCCTGGGCTTTACTAGAATCCAAGAAGGGTGTAAATGTTTACACCATGCAGGCATACACAGGGACAGGCTGGGCTGCTGCTGATGTGAAGTTCTGGATGACCATTTTACCTGCATTTTTAGCTCAGTTTTACTAATCTGAGTATTAACAGACTTCTTTTTTTTTTTTTTTTCCCGTACAAAAGAAGTGAATGTATGTGTAGATGAAACATTCTTCTTCAATAGGACAACTTCTGTAGGCCAAGCACATGCACAACATACCCATGGAGCCGCAGCTCCAACACCCACAATACAAACCAGTCCTGGCACAACAACTGGCCTCAACACAGCAAAAGTATACAAGTTAACTTCTGCACTCAGCCTTGTAGTGCACAGCAGATGGCAAGGAGACGTGGTTACTCACCTGGAGAAGGGGCACACTTGAAGTGGCATGCAGGGGAAACAACAGACTGCCAAGAAAAGCTTGGAGATGCAGAGGAAGGTGTAATGAAAGAGCTGGCAGTTGAGCAGGGAAAGCTGAATCACACTTACGACACGATGGAGACCGGTGGGTGGAACAACAGATGCAGTGAGGGTCATGGGCTTAGACATGCTGGAGATCTGCACGTGACCAAATGGCCCTATGTGGCTCAAGACAAAGGTGACGCCTGAGTCCATAGCAAGTCCGAGTTCTGAAGAGGAGAGGATGAGTATGATGGGTTATGATGGTGACTGCTGATCTCTGGCTAATCATTCTTTCCCCTAGGCTCTGAATAACCAGAACATTACATTTTTAAGCAAAACGAGTCAGGAGAGACAATGAATGTCAATGAAAAGCCAAAAATTATCACTCTAGGTCAGCATGGGATGGAGCAAGATACTACAGAAAGTTGGTCTGGTGGCACAGCAGCTGAACCAAGCTCCTAATTTTATTCTGTTTAAGTTCCAGTGTGACATTGCAAGCTGCAGTGAGATACTGAAACTGGTCCTGAAGACAAACTGAATGACACAAATGGAGCAGGGCATGGAACAGAAGAACTGCAATGAGGAACACACAGCTCCAACCCCCTTGTAGCAGGCCTGCCTTCTGCACCAGGAATGCTGCCAGGGCAAAGACACAGCTAGGGGAGCAGGTGAGAGGTTCACAGAGGACCACATACTGACATTTAGCACAGCTGCTTGTTACTTGGTTTCTGCTGTACCACAGCCCATGGGAAGGCAGCACTATTTCTCATTAAGTGGCAAAGCAGCATGGCAGCATTTCTCATTGTTCTATGACCAAGGCCTGTTTGTAAAGGTAAGGTCAAGGCAAAGACTCATGAGAACCCTCAGGCATGGCCGAGTGCTGGATGATGAAGTGGTGCCCCAGGACAGGCAGCACTGGAACCCATGAGACCTTTTCCAGAGACAGCTGTGCTCTGCCAACTCACCTTGGGCATTCTATGGGAGACCCTACCTGAAAAATGCTGCTCACGTCTCTGAAATGGAGACAAATATTACGTTTCATACTGAGCTTTCCAACCCTACTGGGGATAAAATCCATAGTTCTTAATACCTTCAAGATCTTTCATGAGCTAATTTTTAGGTACCTCAGCCTTGCTTCCATCTTCTTTGTGGCAGCACAGCACAAAGACCATGCTGTGGTCCACAGAGAAGTCAAGGTGAAGATCCACTCAACAGCACGGCTGCAGGTAAGGAAATCCAGACCAAGCCAGAACCCATGTATCAGTCAGAAAAGTTCACTATAGCTTCAATAGGGAAAACTGCTTCCAACCAAGATAAATGGAGAAGAGTTCACTAAAAAGGATCCTGAAAATCAGCTGGCAATTCATATGTGAGTGGAGGTAAGCAAAAGAAACTCACAGATTAATTACATCAGTAATTCCAGTGAATTTTAGCTAGGATTTGTGTCACGGAAATGACTTAAGTATGGATTAACAGTAGAATTCACTCTCTGCCCTGGAAACACAGGTACAGAACTGGAAATGAGAGCATATGGCAGGAGATGTATGGCAGTGTAAGAAAAAGGTAGAAACAGGCAGGGTATGTGACTGGGTGAAGGCCAAAGCAGAGTGCTCTGAATAAACACAGAAAAAAACCTCTGTTGCAAGGCTGTTTACTATCTATAGACATTACTCGTTTCCTGACTGGAAACAAAACTAAAACCTTCTCCTGGTAAGCGTCCACGTTACCTGGCATGGTATCAAATAATAAAGTTTGAGTATAAAACAATGCTTTTCCTTTTCATTTGTTATGTTCAGATCGAGTGCATCCAGTTCAATGAAAGCATCGGCTTCTCCTCCTCTATGTTACTTATCTAGATTCTTTGCCACACACAGTATGTTCCAGAACAGATGAAACAGGGAGATGGGCAGACCTGAGACTCAGTCTCTTACCTGTAATACTTTGCCCTGGGGGCTCTCAGGAAACAGTAACACCTGATTGTACAAAGGGTCTAATGATTTGCGAGCCACTTTTGTCTTCTTTTTCGCAATGCACACGCCATTCTCTAACAGGTAAGCTTTGATGTAAGCAGCTGGAAAAAAACAAATACAGTTACAAATATGAACAAACCTCAATGCTCAATTTTGAAAAGGCAGAGTGCTGTGTCTCCTATTTCTGAAGAAGGCATTTGCAGCAGTGCACACAATTTACTCAACCACCCTTATTTTCAATATGACAAACAGACTGCTCATTCTCACAGAAGCCAAGCAGAATCAACAGTACCCCTTTCTGCAAGCACTGCAGGAAGCTGGGGCTCAGTGAAGTATTTGAGGAGGTCAAAGCACACTACCTGGCAGTGTTTTGGAGCCGGGTTTTGGTGTGAGTCCTCGAGCCTGAATGATATCCACTTCTAGCTGCCCATTTCGCTCTTGCAAGCCAATTTCCACGTCCCCTAAACCAAAATGTCAAAACAGACAGAACACTTTCAAAGCAATCTATCTGCGGGCTGATAAAATGTTAAAAAAACAACCCCTGCTATGAGCTGTGTCAAATTGTAGGCCCTAAGTGCCTGATCTCCTCCTGTGTTACTCTGGAGTAGCTCTGCAGTGACTCAAACCCACATTTTCAAAAACAGTCTCTAATTCCCTCCTAACAGCCTCCTAGCACAGCTTTGGTGACTCAGTCTCACACTCTTTGGCTGCAGCTAACCTCCAATTTCTGCCAGACCGCAATATTAGAGCTGCAGGCTGCTTCAGAAAATGCAGTTGTAGTGTGTCATAAGAACATCTCTACAGAGCACTGGGCTCTGCATCTGGGCTAGAAAAATGCATAGGATGTTTTCAGATTTTTCGCTGCATTTTACTTAGTCTGTGACTTTCGGATCTGACAGAGCAAAGTACGAAGCTGGCGCTCCCCTGCTGATGCCATATTAGCAGCCATCAGCAAAACCTTGCAGCCAAGCTTACTTGATTTCACACAAAAATGGAGCGGAGGAGTGGTGGAACAGCAGATGCTGGACACATTATTAGGCTCGTAGGAGTGGTCTGTTCAATACTAAATTTAAGCCATCTAAGATCTTGGTGTTCCTTACCCATCGAGGTGGTGGCCAAGGTCTGACGCCCAACAAACTGTGCAGGACCCATGCTGCCCAGGAAGTCACTGAACTGCCCAGCAGATGCCAGATGGACTCCACTGAAATTTAAGCTGCAAAAGAAAGTGGTTTTGGCAAGTGGTTAATTTGCATTTTAAAGCAACTTGGTGTAACTAAAGAGCCTGATTTAAGACATCTTTCGCATGAATAACATTTACAAAAGCCTTTTCTCTTGCAAAGCTCAGTGATTTCAAAGGCAGTTTAGTTAGGTGGGATGCATTTAAAATCTCTTTCCTTGTATTAAAAAAAACACAAACAGTACTGGATGCAGTCAGCAGTTGTTGAATACATGTTTGTCTACAAGGGAAAATCGCTGCCATCTCAGACTCACGTGCAGCCTGTCACCTCTTCCAGGTAGCACTGTTATCTAAGCAGCTTCTGGCGTAGTTCATAGGAACTCTCTTGGTAGCTATCCTTTCCCAACCTTCATTTTTGGGAATTAATTAACACGTCTAGAGCTGTGTTCAGATGTGAGCTCAAGGCTGCTGACATCAATCCCTTGGGAGTGAATTCCCTGTTGAGTTCTCACAGGCAGAACAGTGCACCATCCTTGACAAGAGGACCTCACTCCTTACCACTCAGCACCAGAATCACCCATCACACTCACTGCATGGTTTTCCCACCTGCTTCCCTGATCATCTTTGAAGCAGTCATGAGGACCCAAATCCTGGTTCAAGGCTAAAAGCACAGCAACCTCAAATGCCAGCAGTACCTCTACTTCAGCAACAGCAGCAAAGCAGAAGCTGTTAGAGGACACAGCCCTCAGCTCTATTCATCAGGCATCATTCTGAGCCATGACTTCAGGACACAGATGAGGCAATGCAAAAGGGTCAGACCCTGCGGCACGCTGATTTACGCAGCTGTATTATGGGCTGTTGGAAAACCTGCTGCCCCACTTGGTGCTAATGGCAAGGAGAAGGCCAGAAGCCCTCATTAAACACCCACACCTGCCCTGCTGGCATCTGCCAAGCCATGACACAGCTGCCCATCAGTCTGTGCCAGGGATACCCACACTACCGTGCCGCACTCACACGCTGCATCCCAGGAAGCTGCTGCATGTGGAAGTGACGCAAACTGCAGCCCTGCACTCTGCCAAGTGGCCTCAGAGGGGGCAACTGCCCACACGCTGATCCAGCTCATCGCTTCCTGGAATTCATTTCTCAGAAGGGAAAAGAGAGGAGAGCCATGTGTTCCTTCCAACCTACCCCAGCAATGGAATTCAGGCGCAGCCCCGCCTTTGGGGCAGGCTGGGCACTGCAGGCTGCACACAGCCACAAAGATCCATTCATTCCCCCGCTGAGAGCCACTTCCATTTAAAAGACATTCAAAGCATTATTTTAAACCCCATTCATCCAGAAAAGTGGTAATTTCAGGTTGAGATTTCAGTTCTCATTAGCTATGCGCAGATCCAGGCTCAATCCTGCTGGGAATATTTATTTATTCATGTGATGAAGGAGGAAGTCAGGCACAGACCTCAGCATCATGCTGCATGTGTGACAGGAGGGACATGGCAGCAGTGGGACACGCTGACAGCTTCACGGGGTGGCTCATGGCCTCGTGCTAACAGCCAGAATTTTCCTAGGCACAGGGCACAGCCCAAAGCTGCTGGGCCTGGTGAGGACTGCACACAGACACCCACCCCCAGCACTGCTGCATCTGCACGCACAGGGAAATGCGATGGGGAGCACAGAGCAGCCTGCAGCCAGGAGGCTACAAGCCTATGATTTGCCCATACAGGATGGAGCCCAGTGAGGCTCCACAAGCTGCTGGCCCAGGCATTCTGAACTGTCCATAGAGGGTCAAGAAAGGGTGAAAAGTTGTGCTTAGAGAGAATCCAGAATAATTCAGGAAAAGGAGATCTGACAGGGAAAGACATAAGATTCAGACAGAGATGAATGGACTATCAGCCAGAAGGTAAATGTTTTCTTTATCCTCTTCAATTCATGGAAGATAAATGGACAAGCCTTAGGTCTTACTCCTACCCCAGGGAATACATGACCTGAGCAAGCACGTAAATAACAAGCTGGCAAGAGAATGCACTGCACTCAGGAAAACGCTCACTGTCATGCTCCTAACAGATGCTCATCTCATTAACAAGATGCCTGGGATGAGGAGAATGGAGAGCAAGTACAGGACTGAGAGAAGCCCAGATCTGCAGAAGCACAAGGTACAGGTCTCTCTCTGTAAGTTCCCTGACCTCAAGGCAGGGCTGTGGAGTGAAGCCTGGCCAGTGACTGCTGTGGGGACTCAGAGGGAGAAGTGCACTCATTGAAACACCATTTTCCATTTGCAGCTCAAGCAAAAGAGCACCAGGATGGGTGAGGATGCTGCTGTGTCCCAGCACGGGGACTAACCTTAGAGGGATGGAAAAGGCCCATTTAAAAACAAAGACCAAGGTAAAGACTCCAGCGTTTCGGCTATCAGCCCCAGTTAATGGCTTTAACAGCACTGCATGAAACTCAATTTTACATCAGACAGTTAATGTTCCCTTATGTTGTTATATCTGGATGGAAAAGGAAGATGCAGGGAATTCTTTAATGGATCACACCATTATGTGGTGGGACTGCCTCGTATGCTGCATTGAGCTTTTGCAGTGCTGCTTTATTAGACATCTGAAGCAGCAGCTTTAAATCAGGTTCCTTGGCTCTAAGCAATTCCAGGATGTATATTTGGTTATTGTCAATAACCCTGGAATGGAAGCAATTTCTGTTTGGAAAAATCATAAGCCACCTCCAAGAAAGCTATTGCTGCTCCCTGGAGAGGAGAGAGGAAAAACAAAACTGCAGAAACATAGCATGCATGTGAAGAAAAACCAGCAGGAACCATTAAGCTGCATCAGCTAAATTTAGGATGCTCAAAAGAGCCCGGTGAGTTCTGTCTGTCAATGTCCAGTGAAAAGCTGGGACGGTGGGTGGGGGGACCAGGCCTCATGCAGTCAGAGGTCTGTGCAACACCTTCCCCATTCACTCATCTGCTTTTTTGGAGGGAGGAAAAGAGCTCTAGGCATCTTCAGGACTTCTTTGAGGTGTTTGAGCCCTGGTGCTCCCCCGAGCCCTCCCTGCTGCTACATCTCATGTTCTTCTGTTCCACTGTCCAGAAGTCAGACCATGGGATTCTTCTGGTCCCATCACTAAAAGCACTCCCCCCTCCCCACCACCTCACTCTTCCTTCCCCCAAAAACACTCCACCTGAAGGGGTGGAAAATGCTGCAACCTGATTATCACCAGGATCACCTTATTTATCTTGACATAAAAAGAGCTGCTAAAAACAGCTGCAGGAACAAATAGGCAGCATTCTGCAGCTGACCTGCAGGTAGCAACTGTCATATCCAGCATGGCCCTGAGGACAGGGCTGCTGCTCCAGACCCATCAGCAGCACACCAAGAAGATTAACAGGTGACACCGTCAGCCTTTTGTCTAAAGGGCACAAAGCCTCCACTCAGCGAGCACAGCACAGCCTTTTGAACAGGCAAGAAATTAATTAATTTCCTCCAGCCCTCTGCTTTCACTAATCATGATTCATGGGCTCTGCTTTGTCACAGCTGACTGGGAATTATTTTAATGAAGTTAAAGATAACGGGTTTGGCTGTAGAATTGGTTTTAAGTAAATGTGACTCTGGTTATTGACCTGGAGGTGTGGGCAGGACAGGGCGACCTGCTGGGTATCAAGGACAAGCAGAGGGCAGTGTGCTGGAGAACTTGCACAAGTCCTTGGCTGCAGGCAAAGGGGCCAAGCAAGGAGTGCAGCACCACAGCAGCACTCAGAGAGTGACGGAAGCTGGGGTCTCCGGGCCCATCAGCGCTGAGCAGCACAGGCAGAACATGCAATAACATTAATTCTGCACGCAGCTCGAGGCTGATTTTGCCCAGGCTGCAAAATCCGCTCCAGATGCATGGATGGCCATTTCTAAGAGCACGCCACGAATCGTGCCTCAAACATCGCAGCACCGGCAGCAGACCGAGCCGGGACAGAGCGCCAGGAGCTGCTCTGCAGCCGCTCGGACAGCCACGAGAGGGAGCCAGGAGCCAAGGCCGGCACGGGCCGCGCCTGCAGCGTGCGAGCCCCGAGCCCAGCGCATCGCTCACCGCCCTGCCCGCCTGAGAAACGTCCCTGCAAGCACCACCGGTACTGCTGGGAAACACTTATCAGACTGGGGCTGAGGTTGGCCAGATGTCGGTTTTTCCTTTCTGTTCGTTTAGTTGTTAAGTGCAACATCGTAATCCTGATTATTTAGGAAATCCGTGCAGCGGTTTGTGAAGACCGTGCTCCTGTGTTAGGTCAGGGCATGTGAAACCTGTCCTCTTCAGAGTAATGTAAGAGTGGCTGAAAGGCTCTCTGCCAGCTGCTGCTCTTTTAAGGTAGCAGCCATTCCAGGGCTGCCCTTCCCTGGCACACACAAACCATCAGGCAGTCGGATCCTCCACAGCACGCTGCTCTTCTTCACATGTACTCAAATAGAGAATGAGTTACATGAAATTCAGGATCTGAACACTTTCACGGACAACGCTGACCTCAAAAGAAAGAGCAGAAGGAAAATTCAGAGTACCTGTGCTCATTCCTTCCTACTGCAACTGTGGCTCCACTGCAGCTCACCCCACCACTGTTGGTTGCACGTCGGCATGCAGAGCACACGGCGTACAGACATGTCTAAGGAAAATGTATCATTAATTTCTCTCTTTGTCCACGTGCAGTTTGTCTGACCTCTTTTCTACATCTATTTTTAAATTGCTTCTGGGATTCTGTATGCCAGGTACTACACTGTGCTGCTGCAGATGGCTGCAGAATCTGCTTGTCAAGACCATGAAAAACTTGTATGGAATAGGATAGGGAAGCACCTCCACAGGTCAGCAGGTCCTCACCCAGCCCTAAGGCCATAGCAGCTTATGTACATCCTTATGGCCACTCACCCACCTGCTCTGAAAACCTCTCTCCCTAGACAGCTTGTCCCTTTGCTTTGCTTCACTTTTTCCTTCCCAACCACTTTCCTATCAGCCCTCAACGTCATTTCTGAGTTATCAATGTGAAGCACAAGACAGTCTATTTCCTTTCCTTA